TGGAGTATGCCATCTTCTCAGACCTGAACCTGTATCTAGTGATCGGTCTGGGCTCGGTGTCATCCCTGCTGCTCATCACCATATTGGTCACCATCGTGCTCAAGTGTCAGAAACCCAAGCCCAGCATAGCGGCTCCTCCCTGCAGGAACAGTGTGATCAGTGAGAGGAACTCCACCATCGCAGACTCCACTCTGGTCTCCAACGATGCCTACTGGTACAGTCTGTTCCTAGCAGAGACCAGGAAAGGAAAGCTGGTGGTTAGACAGCCTCTGCCAAAGGGCTCCAGGTACATCGTGTCCAGTATACCAAGAGGCACAGGGCTGACAGACACCAGTGACTCTGCTGCTTCCACTCTGCAGGTATGGAAAATTTACAGTTAAAAGTGTAATGCACATATGCTCTTTGAGAGTGTCTATCAATTCCAGTGGCCTCTTTTAATAATGACGTTTCTGTCTTATTATTCCTTTCAGTACCCTTTTTAATGAATTCCTCATAGATATCCAAACATGTCCATTTTTATCTCGTGCTTTTTTTATCAACATTTACAGAAATATACACTCTGGATAGGCTATTGGTTATAATAAAAGTTGACATCTAAGTATTATATAAATGTCGGTACGGCTCTTGGATTTCCTTAAGATTAGAGAAGTTACTGGATATTTGCGAAATCTAGCCATTTCATATATCAGCTTTTGTTGCTCAAGGTAAATAGGTTTTACATTCCACACTGCCTAGGTAACGAGGCAACTGTGTGTCGTTTACGAGACTACATCACTTTCTCCCCAGAACTATTTATCAGCAGCAATGAGAACATACACATATAAATAAAGAGAAAATATGCGGGCAAACTAACTTGTGTCAACATCTGGGATGATTTTACGCACACAAATCGGTGCGTAAAAGTCAAATGCAAGGGCAGTGACACTGTATTTGCACTCATTGCGCAATATGTATGAGGCTTTATGTGTAATTAAAATATAAAAACAAGAGATTTAAAAATTATGAAAACAATACAATGAAAAAAGGAGAAAGAGAAATTGCAGCTGCTTTACCCATATCCCTAGGGAAGATTAAGATAAAAACCCAGGGAAATAGTAAAATAGAGTATTTAACAACAATTTTATTTATTTATTAATAAAAATTAAAAGTTTACATACGGTTCATGTTTGTTCAAGGAAATATTGAAACCCTGGATATTTTACGAAGTGCAAAGACTCATAAATGACTATTCACGTCGCTGCTCTCCAAGAAAACTTATTAAATGGTGAAGTCATTGCTCTCGCGACAGCTCATTGGAGGCTGGGCAGGCAAGCATATTACACGAACATCTCTTCTGACACCAGTATAAAGAAACGTTTTCACTGAAGATCCTACTTAATTTTCCTAGAAGGACTGTTTTTCCTCGCTCTTTGATAACTCGTTTTGAATGATTTTAAATGAGGATGTTTTTCTCAATGGCTCGTCATACCGGTCAGTATTCCCCGAGAGGGCACATTCCCGTATTTCTCTGTCTTTCTGCCATCATGACTACGGTGTTCACCGTCACCCATTATTCTGTTCCCGAAGAAATGGAGGAAGGCTCTGTTGTTGCTAATTTAGCGGCTGATTTGGGATTAGATGTGAAGACTCTTCATAATAGAAAAATGCGAGTTGACGTGGTAGGCAACAAAAAATATCTTGACATCAACAGAGACACAGGGGAGCTGTTCATTTTAGAAAGGATGGATAGGGAGTTTTTGTGCCCCCTTAAGACATCCACGTCCTGCTTTCTTAAGATAGACGCCACGATTGAAAATCCGATAAGGATGTTTAATATTGAGGTGGAAATCACGGATATTAATGATAACGCTCCTCATTTTCGACGTGGAACGATGCATTTGGACATTTCCGAATCGAGCCCCGTCGGAGAGAGATTCTCACTGAACAACGCTGCAGACCCAGATGTTGGAACCAATTCTGTTAAAGATTACCATCTGAGCTCAAGTCAACATTTTGCTCTTGAAATCCAGACCGGGAGAGATGGGTCAAAGTTTGCAGATTTGATTCTGACAAAAGCTTTAGACAGAGAGCAGCAGGCTGTTCATAATCTAATACTCACAGCTGTGGACGGCGGGGTCCCCACGCGCACAGGTACAGCCAGCATCATTGTTCGCGTGCTCGATGTGAACGACAACGCCCCTTCATTTGACAAAGACAAATATGTGGTAGATGTGATGGAAAACTCCCCCATTGGCAGTCTAGTAATCAAACTCAACGCCACAGACTTAGATGAAGGGTCCAACTCTGACATTGCCTATTCATATAGTTTGTACACTTCAGAGAGAACGCAGAAGATGTTTACCTTGAATCCAGAAAATGGTGAAATCAGAGTGAAAGAGATGATAAATTATGAAGATTTGAAACTTTATGAACTGGAAGTTATTGCCACCGACAAGGGGCCAAACTCCTTATCTGGACAGTGTAAACTAACAATACATGTGACGGATATGAATGACAATCACCCAGAGATCTCCATCAAATCATTTCAGAGTCCGATCAAAGAAAATGAACCAATAGACACAGTGATAGCAGTAGTTAGTGTGAGCGACAAGGACTCAGGTGACAATGGAGTGGTTGATCTTCACGTTCCAGATAACATGCCTTTCAGACTGAGGGAATCCTCTGATAACTACTATGAGTTAGTGGTGTCAGAGCCTTTAGACCGTGAGAAGGTCCCAGAATATGACATCACTTTCACTGTTACAGACAGAGGGTCTCCTCCGTTATCTGATAATGAAACTATGACTTTAGAGCTGCTGGACATTAACGACAATGTCCCACAGTTCCCTCAGTCATTTTATACCATACGTGTAGTGGAGAATAACGCACCCGGGGCCTTGCTCAGTTCACTCACTGCGTTTGACCCTGACCTCCATGAAAACCAGTATCTAGTGTATTTCATCCTAGAGAAGGAGATCGCCAACACCTCCATGTCCATGCTGTTCTCCATCAACCCAGAGAACGGTAATCTTTACGCACTGAAAACTTTCGACTATGAGATCGAGAAGGAGTTTCTTTTCCACATCGAGGCCAGAGACTCTGGCTCTCCTCCACTCAGCAGTAACGTGACCGTCCACATCATCATTGTGGACCAGAACGACAACGCTCCGGTCATTGTGTCTCCGTGGCGCGCGCACGGCTCAGTGGTGGAGGAGAAGATCCCCAGATCCACCGATAAAGGCTCTCTGGTTGCCAAGGTGATAGCCTTAGACACAGACTCTGTGCACAACTCTCGGATCACCTACCAGTTTCTACAGGTGACCGATGCCACCTTGTTCAGTCTGGACCAGTACAACGGAGAGATCCGGACCATGAGGATGTTCAGCTACAGAGATCCGCGCCACCAGAGACTGGTTGTTGTTGCCAAGGACAACGGGGAGCCCGCTCTCTCTGCCACAGTCACCATCAAGCTGTCCACGGTGGAGACTGCTGTCAAGGCCCACTCTGATATGACGGAGGTGCCTCTGGAGTATGACATCTTCTCAGACCTGAACCTGTATCTAGTGATCGGTCTGGGCTCGGTGTCTTTCCTGCTGCTCATCACCATATTGGTCACCATCGTGCTCAAGTGTCAGAAACCCAAGCCCAGCATAGCGGCTCCTCCCTGCAGGAACAGTGTGATCAGTGAGAGGAACTCCACCATCGCAGACTCCACTCTGGTCTCCAACGATGCCTACTGGTACAGTCTGTTCCTAGCAGAGACCAGGAAAGGAAAGCTGGTGGTTAGACAGCCTCTGCCAAAGGGCTCCAGGTACATCGTGTCCAGTATACCAAGAGGCACAGGGCTGACAGACACCAGTGACTCTGCTGCTTCCACCCTGCAGGTATGGGGAAATGACCATTTTAACATTAGTCATGTTGATTGTGATGTCAGCACCTGAGAATTTGTATTCACACACCCAACTATTTTTTAAATGTAATACATAAGGAGTCAGTTAACACTGTATAAAAAAGAGGAAAATCATGCACTTAATGTTTAGAAAAATTATTACTAATGATGGTTTAGTGCATCCCTTATTACAAGATTTATTATGAACTCCTATGATTTGCAATTAAGAAAAGATCAAATGGCAATGGCTTTAGCTGATTAGTTCATGCTGAATAATTTGCATGCACTTCAGACATTTATTGAAATACTATCAAATTAGCTACATTGAATGTTTGTTCCAAACTCATGCACTTGATCAGTTTCTTTATAAGCAGAACTGTACCTTTTTTGCCTCATGACCTCAACGATTCTATGCACGTATGCTAAAAGTTAGAGAAACTGTTTGCAACAAAATATACGATGAGCAGTTTAAAAAAGTAATACCAGCAACATGTTGACCCATTCTCCACTAATTTGTCAAATTGCACCTGTAAATGATTTTTGTTTTTTGTTTATTTTTTTGCCATATTCCAAACCACTTATTTCAAGAAAAACACTTTATTTCTATAATATGTACTGTGCTGCTTATAGCAGACTGATCAAGTGAATGGGTCTGAATTGAACTCTTGTGTAACTTGAATGCAACTAATGTGGTGGCATTATCATAAGAGTACCAAGTAAATGTGTACTAACATTTCTTAACTTAATTCATGAACTAATCACATAAAATCAAAGGGGCTTGCTCATTTGTCAGTGATGAGTACAAGGAATTCATGACACATCTTGTGAGAATTTCATGTATTAAGTGATCATGAGTCCCGCATTAGTTACTCGTTACTTTAGTTTATATGATTTGTACATACAAATTGTACCAAATGTCAATATTCCCCTAAAATGAACTGTATCAGAAGTATAAATGCCAGCATGTACATTAACAACACGTTAGATCAGCCTAAGATTGTTGGCAGATAGTTTTCGTTTTAAAATTCCTATATAATTTTAAAAATTTCATAAGTAGCCTAACATGTATTTTTCCTTTACTAAATAAATATTATTGCTATTTCAACTTGGAGTATTCTGCATAGATCAAATAATGAGGTGCAATGAGACAAGGTGTGGGGAACATTGATACAACATTAAATTCAAAATAACGACGGTCAGAAATCATTGATAATCTATACAAAACCACCTGTGAGTTCATCATTTGGCACTCTTTTACGCAGAGATCCCTGTGCGTAAAAGTCGCAAAACACAAAAAAGAAGGTACCAAGATACATGCTCTCTGCCTTTACAGTTATTGTATACAAGTATGACAAAAATAAACCAAACATTTACACAGAAATGCAAATATCTAACGAGCGGAAATTGAAATATGTATGTCAAATGGTCCGAACGCCACCTCCTACTCAGGAAAACAAACTTCAGAAATCAGAAATAAAATGTCACCACGAAACTAATTTCTAGTTTCCTCCGCTGTGATTAACGTAAATTCCACTTATATTTTAAAACAAGATTACTGTTTAAAAAGTTGCACAGACTCAAACGACAGCTTTCGTCGCTGCTCTCCAAGAAAACACACACAGTGATGAGGTCATTGCTCTCACGATAGTTCATTGGAGGAAGGAGTGTCAGTGTTGGCACTGAATGCACGTCACTCCTGGTTGAAACGCAGAGAAACGTTTTTATTTTAAAGCTCCTCGCTTTGTTTGTTCGTTCAGGTAGAGGACGGTTTTCCCGTTTCAAGGCATTAATTACGGAACGTTCACGATGGCGCATCATATCCGACAGCTATTCGGGAAAGGGTACGTTCCCGTATTTCTCTGTCTTTCTGCCATCATGACTACGGTGTTCACCGTCACCCATTATTCTGTTCCCGAAGAAATGGAGGAAAGGTCTGTTGTTGCTAATTTAGCAACTGATTTGAGATTAGATGTGAAGACTCTTAAAGAAAGAAAAATGCGCGTAGACGTTGAAGGTAATAAAAAGTACCTTGATATCAACAAGGACACGGGGGAACTGTTTATTTTGGAAAGGATAGATAGAGAGATTTTGTGCCCCTTAAAAACAACCACATACTGCTTTCTTAAGTTGGACGCCACGATTGAAAATCCGATAAGGATGTTTAATATTGAGGTGGAAATCACGGATATCAATGATAACGCTCCTCATTTTCGACGTGGAACGATGCATTTGGACATTTCCGAATCAAGCCCCGTCGGAGAGAGATTCTCACTGAACAACGCTGCAGACCCAGATGTTGGAACCAATTCTGTTAAAGATTACCATCTGAGCTCAAGTCAACATTTTGCTCTTGAAATCCAGACCGGGAGAGATGGGTCAAAGTTTGCAGATTTGATTCTGACAAAAGCTTTAGACAGAGAGCAGCAGGCTGTTCATAATCTAATACTCACAGCTGTGGACGGCGGGGTCCCCACGCGCACAGGTACAGCCAGCATCATTGTTCGCGTGCTCGATGTGAACGACAACGCCCCTTCATTTGACAAAGACAAATATGTGGTAGATGTGATGGAAAACTCCCCCATTGGCAGTCTAGTAATCAAACTCAACGCCACAGACTTAGATGAAGGGTCCAACTCTGACATTGCCTATTCATATAGTTTGTACACTTCAGAGAGAACGCAGAAGATGTTTACCTTGAATCCAGAAAATGGTGAAATCAGAGTGAAAGAGATGATAAATTATGAAGATTTGAAACTTTATGAACTGGAAGTTATTGCCACCGACAAGGGGCCAAACTCCTTATCTGGACAGTGTAAACTAACAATACATGTGACGGATATGAATGACAATCACCCAGAGATCTCCATCAAATCATTTCAGAGTCCGATCAAAGAAAATGAACCAATAGACACAGTGATAGCAGTAGTTAGTGTGAGCGACAAGGACTCAGGTGACAATGGAGTGGTTGATCTTCACGTTCCAGATAACATGCCTTTCAGACTGAGGGAATCCTCTGATAACTACTATGAGTTAGTGGTGTCAGAGCCTTTAGACCGTGAGAAGGTCCCAGAATATGACATCACTTTCACTGTTACAGACAGAGGGTCTCCTCCGTTATCTGATAATGAAACTATGACTTTAGAGCTGCTGGACATTAACGACAATGTCCCACAGTTCCCTCAGTCATTTTATACCATACGTGTAGTGGAGAATAACGCACCCGGGGCCTTGCTCAGTTCACTCACTGCGTTTGACCCTGACCTCCATGAAAACCAGTATCTAGTGTATTTCATCCTAGAGAAGGAGATCGCCAACACCTCCATGTCCATGCTGTTCTCCATCAACCCAGAGAACGGTAATCTTTACGCACTGAAAACTTTCGACTATGAGATCGAGAAGGAGTTTCTTTTCCACATCGAGGCCAGAGACTCTGGCTCTCCTCCACTCAGCAGTAACGTGACCGTCCACATCATCATTGTGGACCAGAACGACAACGCTCCGGTCATTGTGTCTCCGTGGCGCGCGCACGGCTCAGTGGTGGAGGAGAAGATCCCCAGATCCACCGATAAAGGCTCTCTGGTTGCCAAGGTGATAGCCTTAGACACAGACTCTGTGCACAACTCTCGGATCACCTACCAGTTTCTACAGGTGACCGATGCCACCTTGTTCAGTCTGGACCAGTACAACGGAGAGATCCGGACCATGAGGATGTTCAGCTACAGAGATCCGCGCCACCAGAGACTGGTTGTTGTTGCCAAGGACAACGGGGAGCCCGCTCTCTCTGCCACAGTCACCATCAAGCTGTCCACGGTGGAGACTGCTGTCAAGGCCCACTCTGATATGACGGAGGTGCCTCTGGAGTATGACATCTTCTCAGACCTGAACCTGTATCTAGTGATCGGTCTGGGCTCGGTGTCTTTCCTGCTGCTCATCACCATATTGGTCACCATCGTGCTCAAGTGTCAGAAACCCAAGCCCAGCATAGCGGCTCCTCCCTGCAGGAACAGTGTGATCAGTGAGAGGAACTCCACCATCGCAGACTCCACTCTGGTCTCCAACGATGCCTACTGGTACAGTCTGTTCCTAGCAGAGACCAGGAAAGGAAAGCTGGTGGTTAGACAGCCTCTGCCAAAGGGCTCCAGGTACATCGTGTCCAGTATACCAAGAGGCACAGGGCTGACAGACACCAGTGACTCTGCTGCTTCCACTCTGCAGGTACCGATGACCACTCATTTTAATGCAATTGAAATAAACCATTAATTCTGAGTTGTTTCATAAAAAAAACATTCTACCAAACATTTCATTTCTTCAACTTCTAGCTAAGTAAAATTTGCTTGTGAAGTAAGAGTGATATAAAAATTCCCCATTATACACGATGAAGTTTTAACAATGAATTTTATCCAATGTTTTAAACTACATACACCATGAAAATCAACAGTGCTACCACTAAATGATAAAGTCTGAGTATCAGTGCACAATATACATCTATTTGCCTAAACACTTGTTTTATATTTGATGTCTGTATTTCTTTTGTTGTGCAGTAAAGATACCGGTAGGTTGCGATTTTAGTGTCTGTCAGGTACAAATGGTTCAGACTCATTTTTTTTCATGTCACTCAGTCTCTCTACTTTAGAATGTCTGACTATTTAAAAAAAACATATCCTCAATATCTCTAATATGTAAAAGTGATACCTTTGCTTACCATGTTTAAAACATGCTCTGGAAAACAATATATTTTTAATAGAAAGCAATGCATTAGTGAAATAACAAATGCAACATTTAATAATTAACAAGCCAAAGAAACTACTCAATAAGAGGTCCCACCTGTGCTCTGTACAATATGCTGCAGCATTGTGGATTTGAGGTTTTCTGTGGTTTACAGAGCAGGACTTCCTCTCAATGCTTTGAATTGTTTTACTGCTTCAGAGAAATGTTTGTGCCTATTCATTAAGTCTTCTTTCAAAGAATGAAAGTCTTTGAATAAAACATTCTTTGGACTATTAATTTGTTCTCTTTTAATCATGCATGGCTCTTGATTTACCTTTAAATACACATGCTCTTTGCTGCATATTATTATAAGTGATAAAAAAGAATGCACTATATTATTTTCAGTTCTGCAAAATGCAGCAGCCCAGTGTTGTGCATTTCAGGACACAGGCTCTGCTATCTGTGTGGTGCAGGTCTACTGTCACTGCCAGTATAAAGGTTGAGCACATAATCTGCAGCATTGGAGAGTCAGGATATGTGCCAGATTTGCTGTGCTCTGCATCACCACAACACATACGTATCTGAAAAGCAGAAAGTGAACCTGCAGTTTCCAATAACCTTTACTGCCAGTGTCAGTAACATTGATAACTGAATGTAAGCTGATGCTCTTACTGTTTATCTGTCTCTCTCTGTCTGTCCAAAATGGTAGGTATCGCTCTGCCTGAAGAACAAACATTGCAAAGCTAAATCTAAAATTGTGTGTTAACCCACTTGTTATAGGGCTGATTGTAACAAGCTGCAGTGTCTGTTTTAAAAGGTCACACTAACCTCGGTGTTATGTTTTAAAAGACCGCATTTCACTCATAGTGCCTCAATACCAACTCTATGATGACAGGATACATACACAAATAATCGTTTTTTTTTTTGTGCTTGTGATGTCCTGACCATTAAATTGCTTTTTTTCTTCTCCCCACTCTAAAGTATCCTAAATGAAGGAAGTCCACTCTGCAGTTGGAGGTATGCAGGAGTCTCACTCCCCCACCCTGGATGCCCCTTTATGAATGCTGTTATAGAATTGTGTTTTTTTTGTGCTTGTTCTGTTTTCAGTGACTGTTTTTACTTCTTTTGTCTTGTTTAAATTTTGTTGGGAAATTAGATTTATTTTTTTTTTATTGCCTAGTTAGTTGACATCACATGCAGTATTGGCCTCTTCACGACTGCATTTTTATTATTGTTACTCATATTACAGTCTTACAGTATCATTAAAGGCCACTAAAATGTGTCTGTGCAATCTAACTACAACACTAATTAAAACTACTTCTGTATTTCAGGAGCCACTGCTAAAAGTTTTTTATAGAATTTGATATATCCTAAAAATACAGTCCTTCATTCATGTAACCTGACAAAGGTCTTAGGTTATAATTATCATACTGGCAACTATGTCAATCTGGCTTTTGTTAACACACATCAAAGTTTATCGCTATGCCTTTAAATTAATCATTGTGTTCTCAAAGGGATGCTGTGCATGTGAAGATTATTCTGTGTTCATCCCCTACTAGCCTACCACTACTATATCAGAAGCATATCCTATATTTCATGTCTGTAAGTGGGATTGCTGTTTCTGTATGACTGGGTTGGCTAAAGATGTAATTTGACTGGGTGTTGGTGACTTTATAGAATGACACTTTTGAATTCTTGTCTGCTGTAGTGTGAATTGTGACCCAATTCTTTGTGCAGGAGAGGCGCAAAGTGAAACCAGTCACTCTGTTACCTAGCAACCACCCTCCTCCACATAGTCCTGGAGCATGGTATTCATTGATAGACCCACTACCTCACCAGTATATGTTCAAGGATCTGCCCAACTCCTTCCCCAACTCTGTCTCCCGCTTGAAGCCCCGACCTGAGTGACAGACATCGGCTGCATGAGATATGTCAGTTTGGCCAGTCACAAGGCCGTCAGTGCTCTGCCTATCCTCAAGATTGATCTAATTCTATTGTCTCTTTGGCAGGCATCCACCACCAGCAGCAGCAGTTCCACATAAGGCCATATCTCCACCTGCATACTGGATTCATGCTGAGAGGAAAGCTTCACAGAGAAAAGGAGAAGCCCCTGCCCATCCTGCTCAGTCTGATCCCTGTTCCTTGCAACATGTATTTGTTATGCTTTAACACCAAATGGACTATGGTGGCTTGTCAAGGACATGACCCTCCCCCTCTCTTTCTATAAGCACATGACTGCATGGCTTCAACCATATTCCAAGATCTCCCTGCAAAACAATTTCAAGAGGAGATACCCACATAAAATCAAGACTGTAGGAAAAACTGTACAGGTGGATATTCAAAGAAGCTGCAAAAAGGACTATTAGAGTGGACGCACAGATGTTGAATGACCTTCAAGAGACTGTTTTCCCTCTCCTAAAACAAACAGCAACAAAAATCATTACATTTTCAACCTCTGTGCTTTGTCCTGCTCCACAGTAGCATTGATGTATTTTATATATATAAGTTGACTGAAAAGTGAAAGAGCACAATTAAATGTCAGAAATGCACCAACCTGTGGTTTAAAATAATGTGACTTAAATGAAAATCAGTATTTTATAAGTGTGGTGGTTTTTTAGTTGTTTTTGTTTTGTACTTGACTTTGTGCTTTGTGCCTGAGCTTGGCTTAATTATTTGAATGAGAGTGCTAAGAGATTAATTACCGTAAGCTAATTGGTACAATAAACTGGTTAACAGCAAGGCCTTTAGCCATATCTATCACTCTCCCAGGTGTTTTTGCATGGAATAATCAAAGTACTCTGATAATTGTAGATATTTTATGACACTGAGCAATCCATTTTCTGCCCTTAGGCCTTGCTGGTTTGCCTTTTTAAAACAAGATGAGAGATTATGTCTTAATGGGAAAACATGAGTGCAATACACAGTTGTATTACAAAGAAGGATGATCTTCAGATGTGGTGAAAACACATCTATGATCTCATTCCTTTTTCCTAGTTTCTAGGTAAGAGCAAAACAGCTGGCAGCAGTAAAATATTTTTAGGGATTCAGGAAGTTAAGTGTATGCTCAGTTTAAAGTGTCCACTTAAACATTACTGGAGAATATAGGTCACATGGACTGAACTGAACACAAGTGGATACAATGCGCTTTTGGGAATGGATTAATTATTGTCTCTTTATGACTACTGTATATACACCATGGACATGATCATGTACTTTCACTTTTTATTTTTTAAGCCAAACTCTGGATGTTCTTTAATTCCAGCATCTTCTGAGACTGTGTACAAAGTTGGAAACTCAGCACTGAACATGACAACTTAATGTTTACTTTATAATATTGAAGTTGTGTTTGAATTCACTCAGTCAAACAGGTGCTCATGTGTGTTACTGACTACTTTATGTGTCTGCATATGTATAAATAGGGATACAGATATCACTGACCTATACAATATATCATGTGTTTCAATATCAATATGAACAAAACAGTGGAACTCCTTTGCTGTCTGATTTATTGGTCAACTATGTGAAACAATAACGATCAAACATCATGTACTGTAGTCAACAGCTCACAAGTTGTAATGTATTACAGGCAAACATACAGTAAGTGCTCTTGTACAGTGGTATGTTTATGGTGCACTATGTAGGAGCTTGTGTAATGTGAGCTTATTGTATGCTATGGCCTAGTCTGTGTGATTTAATAAACAGAAACAAAATGGAATAATGAACATAATGATGAACTTGTGACTCTCTTTTATTTTGCATCAAAGGGCATTTGGGAGAGTTGGATTATTGTAAAATGAGTTTTCAGATGACAGTGATAATAAGGTATAGACTTGTGGGTAACACTTTACAATAAGGTTACATTAATTAACCGTACTTAATGCAGTAATAAGCATTAACTAATAGGTAACTAATGCATGTATTAATCATGTACTAATGTTTTTCATGTTAATTAAAGTGTTACCTCATACATTATTTAATAGTTTTTAACGACACTGCTAACATTTGTTGATGCAGTAATAAGCGTTAACTAAACGTTAAATAATACAATAATAAGCATTGCATTCAACAACTTCAATGTCTCTTGGTAATACTAGTAAATTGTCAATAAAGATACTAACATTTATTTCACGAAGTTCACAGCTTAGCAGTTTCATTAGGAGAAGGCTGTTTTAATGTT